CCATCGATTTAACTGACAGGTTTCATTCCCTCACCGTATAGTCTTCGATTTCTATTAGTCCAATGTGGCAGCAGGGAAGGGTTTGTGGATTAAAGAGTTTAACTTTGCCTTTGATCATAGTTTCTTGTACTGCTGGTGTGTGCCGTTCACTGTTTTTCATAGGATCAGCAATTTGTAGCCCATAAGAGGTACTCAGTGTTAGTCTTGGGCTGCGTACTGGAAACGTACTTTTGACTATCTTTATGTTGCATCATATGATAAATTCTGAAGGGCTATTTGTTGCATTTGGTATTTCTTACTGTTGCGCAGCCCCTCTGCCCGGCAACGTGGGTACTTCGGTCCAAGTGGCTTGGTATAGATTGTTATGATCGTTAACTTTTCATGCGTCTAGAACAGCGTTTTGCTGCTCATTCACCAGCCATAAATGATCTCTGTCCGAAATGATATAGAAGCAATACCATTGATCCTTAAACAACAGACCATCAATCAGGGTCAAGTTGCCTGCATCAAGAAAAAATCCCTGATCCTAGACAACTCACCAGGAACCTTAGGATAGCATTTTTACGCTTCTGCTAATTCACTTCCTATCTTCCTTCTCCGGATAGTTCAGTAACCACATTTAGAATAGGGAGCAAACGCAGCATCCTGCGTCGTACGTATCTATCTCTGGTACTCACCTTGGCATATCTGTTCATCATAGTTATCCGACTTAGTGCCTGCGTTCGCGGCACTGTTGTACGCAACTGAGTCGTGGCCGATCCGTGTGAATTTGCTTGCGTCGGTTGTCCGCAGAAGCTAACTCCCGTGTGTCCGAAACACCACGTTTGCAATGACGATGTTAAACATCGTATCTTAGGTAAGACTGACCTCCTTCTTGACAAGTTAATAGAACTGTGCCAATCGAGATCACTGAGTTAGGTGCTATGTGTGCCGTGTGAGCGTCCACCACGGCGCGTCCTATTTTCTCGCGCAGGGTCGCGTTGAAAGAAATCGCGGGGTAGTCAACCGATCACATGTCGACAAAATGTCAAAACTTTGTGTTCTAGTCTCGCTGTCATCGGCGTCGTTCATCTTCCGGGCTAGAGAGCCAAGGATGAGGAACAGCGCTTCTTGGAAGCACTTGGAGATATGTGCGAAACTGAGCACTTGTGGAGATTTGCATGAACTTATGAATTGCTTCTACTGATCAACGCCGTATCCACAAAACTGCGTGTGAAAACACAATAAAACACCTTTTCTTTGTCTGTTTTCTACTTTGCACTTATTATGCATATTCATTCCGTGGCTTTCGATGGTTCTGCACCCATTGCGTAGACAGTTGCTAGTCGTATATATGGTTGGCGGCATCCGGTTTCGGATGTGCCTGTCACTGTGTCAGCAACAGGACGCCTGCGACTACAGAGGGACCATGGATGGCTTGCGCTGCACCACCCACAGCTCCATCCACACACCCCATATCTAGTGTAAATCCGAAGGAATAAGACCTGGAGGCATGCGGATGGGAGCCACGTTTCACCAACAGAGCCGGCCCACACTCCTTCACAGACAAACACAAGCACACTGCATTTGGGGAATCAAGTACACACAAGGCGGTGGCTGGGCCGTAGTCCGCTCCACACTGAGTGAATGGAACCACTCTTCGAGCCTAGCACGGCCACAAGAACCGTGCACCCCGTCCCCTCCAGCAACGACCAACTGTCTCCTGGAGCCAGTATGGACGAGGTAGTGGGTAATAGACAGGTATTCACCTTGTCAACATGCACATCAAGCGCAGCCACACCTGGGATGTCAAACAACAGCCAATCCTTCGAAATGCCGATATCCATTAAAGTAAACGCATATGACGACATAAATACTCGCTAAGTGAGCATATAGAAGGAATTGGTTATAAGTGAATCCGTGATAAGTACAAAATATCCGAAAGTTAGTTAAAAAATACCACGCGATAAAATTACGCAGATTTACCACAATTTGCGTGAGCGACGTGTGCAAGTAAGGAGAAGATTATCAAGTACGCAGAACAAACCAAGTAACATGTAATGAATTTTATCCACAACAAAAAGACCTAGTGTAAGTATATATATATATATATATATATATATATATATAATCCATTTTCTTTACCTTGGCTCTATCTCTTCGGCCCGAGTAGAGTTCACACACACACACCACTCATACCTTGGTGGTGAAAGCCTGTTACAACAAATCGCTGATTGTATATGACCTGTTACCTGTTCAGCCACTTTGGTAAATCTCTTTATATCTACGCATCAGCGATTGAAGCCGAAATTCGTCCGTTTTGCAATGATCGGAGAGGCTGACTCTGACAGACGTGAATGAGGATGAGTTAAATGACAGCAAATCTGCCTCCTCTTCCAGCTCCACCTGCATAAAATCCCCTTATGAACAGAAGCCATGGGTTTCTGAACAACCATTAGACCGCTGCGAATGACTACATTTTAATCCTATAGCTTTAGCAATTGGATGTCAGTCAAATGCCTACACGCCTGTTAACCAGTTGGAATTCATGTAAAGTTCAACTTGATCTGTGTTGGGGTTGATGTCAATACACCTGTTTATGCATGCACCACAATGCACGATTGCGGTACCAGTAGTTTTTGTGGCATGGACGCGCATCATCCGCGCAATGCACTCTGTACTGCCCGATGGGAATCCATCGGGCTGACGCGCTGACGCACCTATTTTTAACTGCATGCGTCCTCTGGTCTTTTCGAGTAGTGTGTTACGATTTATGCTTGCTAAATCAGAGCTCTCGTAGTCAAAATGCCTGGAGTGAACCATTAACAAAATTGGACTACTCTCATTTGAGAAACGTGTCGGAAGTGTAAAAAAATCAAACTTTACAAACAGGTTATTAGCAGTATCATATGTTTGCAAAGGAAACTGTCTAATAGAACCATTGAGACATTGACTACATGATCATGATAACCTTAACGTGGTGACTTGAATCGCTTCAATTAGTAAGCGATAAACGGTGCATAAGTCACCACTTTTTCGGCCCATTGCAATTTTATTCTAAATCATATTGGTGTGAAAACCATCTGAGCTGCTATTACTTGAACAGAAGCACCCCAAGTGTAAATAACTCACATTAAAAAGCGAGGTCTGCTTGCTTCGACCAAGTCACTTGGCCGCAAGTCTGGTTTTGCAGCATTCCTGATAATTATTGGCTATTTTTGCAGTATATCAGTAAAGGATGGATGGCACAACACTGCAACACAACGTGTCACCGGTTGCATGCAATGCATTTACTTGCTTGCTGAAGTACATGGTCTTGGCAACCGGTGCCTGCATACTGTGGCTATTGTCTAGGGGACTACTAAGTGAACATGACGGAAGTATACCAAGTGGTGTTTTTTAACACTCCCCCGAATGCTGCCCCGGTTCATCTCCTGAAGTGCACGCATTCGCTCTGGCCGGGTCAATTTTTCCGTTATCCCTTGCTCGTCTTAGCTTGTTGTTTGTCAATATTCTACCTCATTAGGTAAAACTGAGTGATAAATCAGTGATGCAGACGAATTGCTAGGCTTGTGTAAGCGAAACACATGAGCTGGTTCTGGATGCCGTCGGAGATGGGTCTTGCAAACTCGGTCACACCAGTGGTTTCTCACCGTAGGGTTTAATATCTCTAATCATTAATCTTCTTATCTAACGTTTACGCCGTTCTACTCATCTTTCTTTGAACATCTGTTCTTGCTAGCCACATCTGTTTTCTCTCTTTATTTTCCTTGATTTACATGGGTTCTTCTATTCTCCGAATGGCATGGTTCATGGCAGCTGTACTCATTACACGTCCGTGTTTGTATCAACTTTCATAATGCAGCTTGAACTGAACATGACGCATTCACAATGCATTCTGCCTCTTTGTGGTTGTGCTCTCATTTTTCCATTTCTTGTTAAGTAACACCGGGGGGATTTAATCAGTTCAACTATCTGGCATCAGTATAAGACGGAACCGATGCTTTGTTACCAGGCGACCACTGCCAGTCGCGCTTGTGTTGGGTTTACCGCGAGGTCACCCGCGGATTCGAACCGGTTGCTTTTAGATCGCAAGGTTGACGCTTCATCCACCCGGCCGTCGGCCGAATGGCTCATCGCTAATTTACTTAGCTCATCTAGATCGTAGTTCCCTCGAGTACTGTACCATTTTCACTTCGCTCGATTGCGATAATATTGAGTAAACCGGATATCAGGAAACATGAAATATTCAGTTATTCCTTGGCATTTTCCACTATATCCATAAGATTCCTCACTTTCTGCTGCCCATCTTTGACCGGCGTTTCTCTGCATTGCAGAAAGCAAATCTGCTCGTGCCGTAACATGTTTGACTCTTAATTTTAAGCTGTGGCTGAGGTCATCGCCGCTTCAGATATGACTACGAGTGAGTTATAAGACCCTACTGTACGCTTGAGGTCGCTTGGTCAGGTGCACGGGAATGTCTGGATGTTGATTGTCTTTTGCTATCTGGGCTCGCGTGGCATTGCTGATATGGAACGAGTAGTGACGGAGCCCACCAATTGTTGCTTGTTTTGTGTCCCACTGGATCGTCTCCCTAACGCAGACTGCACAAACTGCCACATCCATACTCATTCCTTTGTTTTTATTCATTTTTCTTTCACCTGTTTTTCATCTTTTGTTCTGTTGGATGAGAATTTCAGCTGTGCGACCAATGATTTTTGGGGACAAAGGTTGTGTAATCCGATGTGCCGATCAGTTTACGCTCATGCGTCCTGTCTTCACAGTGAAGAATTTCTGATCAGCCACACCAGTGGTTACAGGCTATGTCGGACACGGGGCGTTTACGAGGTCCGTGAGATTTCAACTTCAGCTTATTAAATTTAGCAACACACCCTTCTATCAGTTGTTTTAACCTTATGTTTTTTCATCCTGTTTCAAAAGCTATCATTATCGTTCCTTCTTTACAGAAAAAATGTACGCGATTGTCCACCCTTGTCTTTTTCATTTGTTGCCCCTTACAGTTGTTGTCCCGTGATGCTGCTTCACATAAAAGTTATTCAACTGGATTGGCATCCATCTCACTTACTGGCACCGCTCTTGGTCTCACTGTGGATGTATCCTCATCATCCACTAAATCCAAGCTCTGTCACCGCACCAAACGTCAACGGACTAAGCATACCGTCCCTACTTCTACTGCTGATTGCTCGCGGCAACACACCGCCGCCTCTGATATCAGCAAATTTGTAAGCACGGACGCTGCAATCGCATTGAATACACAGCCTACCAAGAAGATCAGTGGCGAGAATGCACACATGTGTTCAACTTTGCGAGCTGTCGCTGAAAGTGATTCCGGTGGGACATTGTCGCTGCGGCCTCCTTCCGCTTGCTTATCTAATGCCCCACCGCCGTCACTGTATAATTCCGTTGACAATGATACGAATCACAGCAGTGCAACTCGGGATGTCTTCGCCGACGGATTGGCTTCCTTGCTTCCAAACCATTCTGTTTATTATTCATATGAGTCTGGATGCAACGTAGTAAACCGTTTTTCTTCAGCTACTACTAGATCGGCTGATGAATTTCACACAGTCGATTCTGGAGTCTACCAATCGACTGCGATGGCCAAAGGCGACACAACTATGGACGAGCCGCAGGCGATTTCGAGTGAACTAACATCGTCTGCCTCCCATTTTTACATGATTGCCCCGCAACCTACATACCTTCAAAATGAGCTAAGTCCAATGTTCTCGAAAGCGCAGCTAAATCCCAAACTTGCGGATCTCGGAACCTTCTTCCGGTTTCTATACCGTTCACTGTTCGTTCCTCAAAGTAAGTAACCACCCAAAACTATTATTTGGACAACCGTTGGCTTATTTTATTCGCTCTCCTATTCCACATGTATCCCGGCCCGTGGTCTTAAGGATCACAACCCTGCCTTGTAATCTGACGTCGCGGGTCGCGGGCGACCGTCGCGCGTCTGTTGGTGGTTTCATAACAGCAAAGCGTCGATACTGCCTACCGGAGTACTGCTGATGCCATAGGTTTCACCCATGTTCGTTCGAGTAGTGTGCTCCTCTAGCTATTAACCACACTCTCTAGATGTACTAACGCGGTTCAACTCAGATGTGCGCCATGGTTAGTGGGTTGATTCCTCTGCTTCCTTTCGCTTAACCCCCCATTTAGATGTGGACGGTACAACCATACGCTTTTGATCGATTGCATATTCGAACAGCCGTGCCGTATGTTTATTTGACATTTAGTTTTGCTAATTTGGCTGCAAGAATGTTTCCGCGCTCCCATCATTGGGCATTGGATTTGTTGGATATGGCGTGACTTTCACTAACCTTGGTTGCTTTCAGCATTATGCTAGTTTCATTAGGCAGCCTTTCTTACTGCCCTTTTCTCCGCATTTTCTGGGAACCTGTAGCAACTGTGGCTTAAGGAGTAACAGTTGTCCATGTGGTGATGGCCTTCGCATCGAATTAGTTGTTTGCATCACCTTGGTACGCTTCCATGCAGCCACCACTTTGCAGTAAAGAGTTCATTCTTTGTTGTAACCCGTAGTAACGCAACATAATACATGAATTATGCTACGGACGCCGCTTGTTACGCTGATGATTTATTGAGAAATTCCACTTTTACCTAGGTCATCAATTTAGTTAAACAATTGCGATTTAGGGGACAGAGTGCGGCGGATTCGTTTACCGCGACTAGCATCGCCAGGTTACCATTAAGAACGGTGAAAGAATTAATGTAGAACTCAATCTCAATGCAGAAATGGTTATCAGAGTGAGATGTTGGCAGCGATATTCAAGAAACCGAATTCAAGAGCACCACTGCCTCTGCGGTCTCACTATGTCCATTGAGGTGTCCATCCACTGGTGTAACCCACTCTAAGGCCCTCTGGCTTTCTGTTCCTTGTTTCCAAACCTTTGTACCCAATCATCGACTGACCAACTTACAATTTTGCCCTGTTGGAGACAACGAGTGTTTGAACAATCGATTGGCCGTATCATTGCGGCACCACTTTTTCTAACCAGTGTAATATCGTCAGCGGTTCCAAATCACCGAAGATTTTCATTTACGTAGCTCGACAGCTGTTGTTCGGTTCTTTCTGAACCCCCCCCCGTCCCCGCAGTGATATAGATCGCGTGTCTGCTTTAAGCCTGTCACTTTTGAGGCCGGTGGAATATGTTTGTAGAATTTATTATAACTATACCCAGTCAGTTTGTTTCCACTTATTCCGACTTGCAGTAGATATCCGTGTTGTTCTTCCGGAGCCCGCTCTCATTGCACTTTCCCTCGTCCTTGCGAAAAATTCGACACTCTACTTCATCTCCTTGCTAGCAGAATTTTTGGGGTCGGGCTGACAGTAGTGCCGATCAAGCTTGATGCATTTTCTAATCAGTCTGTGATATATGCCATAGAGTGCTATTTCTAGATAGGTAGTGTGAGAGTTCCGTGAGCTTAAATGAACGACATAACAACTAATGCCTATCAAAAGGCCAATTGCTTCTTGAATGACACTGGACAGCAGTTTCCTCGTCTCGAAATCCGTCAGCAGTAACCATTTGAATCTCTTATCACGCCCTTGTAACTGGTGATTTATCTAAGTTTCTTATAGCGCCGTAGTTGAATTGACGGCCTAGGTTTAGGAAACAGTTTCTTGTAAGACTATCTTGTCTACTGTATATAAAGCTGTATGTGCTGGTCATTGACGAGTAGACTGCGTGAGACGCGATAACTCGCAGCCCTCAATCGGAACAAACGGATTGCGCACAATTGGTGTGTCTCGAAACGATGTAGCGGCTATCCAGTAGTATGGTCATTGTTAATCCAGTACATTACCGAACTTCTCCATTGTAATCAGAACGAATTCCTTCAGTCCACTAAAGGACCATCTGAAATGTGCCTTTGTACTAACTTTGATGCATAATCTGCTCGAAAAGCGTATCTCAAAACAATGTGTTTTCGTTTTTCATCTAGCTTGATCGTTCTATTATGTTTGAGATTGATTACGCTGTATGTATTTCCATATACAAAGTCCTCACGAGATGTCCACGATTTCGTTCCCTTTCAGTTTGCGCTGCTCATCGGAAGCTTTATGAACCAGTATTACTACCGTTTAATTCATTTGTACTTTCTGATTGGTGTCACATAGTATGCTCATATAACCATTTGCATCCAGTGGCCTCATTAAATTCTTTGGGTATGCATTCTTCTACTTCCAATTCTGTTTGCTTCTCTTCATCCATCACTTCCGTCAATTTCCAGGTTCATAGCCGTGAACGTATTGGAACGTGCATCACTGTCATATCCAATACGACCCAACTTTTCTCTATTTCTTCACCTTCTCCACAGTATCAGTTTAACATATTGAAAGCCTTATGTTTCAGTGTCAGAATAATCGTTCTAGATTTCGGATCACGCCTATACTACTTAGTAAACTGTTGTTTGCACTGCACACCTGTTTGTCTTTGCCTTTTACAGACGAATGCCTAGGCGCTCAAGATATTTTTTGTTTCACCAATTGCGGAGCTCTCAGTTCATCTTCAGAACATCGCCTCACGGTAGATGACACCAGTCCCACTTCCTTGCCTGCGGGTGGACTGTTGCATTTAAGTCGCTTGTTATCTCCGGATCCAAGTTGCGCCTCTCAGCCACCTTCGCAGTCGTCCGCCGGACTGTACAGCCTAACTCATCCGCATGCACTGTCCAGCCTGCGGTCGGCACTTAGACAGAGTCTTCGTGCTGCAGGTCAATTTGACTGGAACTCAGTAAACCTGTGTAAATTCCCAGGTGCGTTGTTATTTTTGGTTTCCTTATTTTTATACTGTCTTGCGGCCATCATAGCACTGTGAACGATGGTTAAGGCCATATTTTTGCAATAATGCAACGCAGACCACTTACATTGAACAGAAGCATTCTCTTTGACAATTGCCACATCATCTACAGGTCACATTCCTCTTACTCAGATGGCTATACTTTAAATATGCGGTTACCATGACTCTAGTTTTCTATGGCTTCCGTACCCAAGCTTTCAAACCTTCTGATCAGGATGAAACACGGTGAACAAACATATTAGACAACTCGTGCTTGTACGAAGAAAATTCATAGAACTCCTTTGAAACGACTAGACTCTGAAAACGCACTAACAATTTCTCGGTTGTACCTTGTGGAATTCAATCCCCGCCATCAAACACACACACACGCATATATATATATATATATATATATATATATATATATATATGATTGCCCATCAATGCAGTCGTATGCCTGCGCGCAAAGCACTCAGCATCGGTGCTGGAACGCGCGCACACTACTGGACCGGAACTCTAGTGAGCGACCCAAGCGACGCACCGCAGTGGTGGCGATGGAGCTGGCGCGCTACAACATCGATATATTGCGGCACTCAGTGAAACCCGGCTCGCTGAGCAAGGTAAGTTGCAAGAAGCAGGTGCTGGCTACACATTCTACTGGGTGGGCCGCGCCGCCTCAGCACCACGTGATCATGAGGTCAGATTTGCAATAGCCGATCGCCTCCATGGCCAGCTGTTACGTGAACCAACAGGCCTCAATGCGCGACTGTTCCCCTACGACTCTGAGAGGTAAGTTTGTCACTTTTATAAGCACGTACGTTCCGACCATGTATTATCCTGATGACACGCACGATCAATTTTACACTCAGCTATCCTCCGTGATACGGTCTTTGCCGAGAAGCGACCGACTGTTTCTCCTGGGTGATTTCAACGCGCGCGTTGGGCGTGATGCATCAGTGTGGACACATGTTATCGGTTCGCATGGCATTGGTTCAGCGAATGCCAGCGGTGACAGGCTGCTCTCACTGTGTGCCACTCACGGTCTGACGATCAGAAACACTCGGTTTGCACTGAGTGCGAGTGATATAACAACTTGGACGCACCCACGCAGTGGTCACGCTCAACTACTCGGTTATGTCATCGTACGTCAGCGTGATATGCGTGAACTGCGCATGACACGTGTACTGCGTGGAGCTGAATGTGGCACTGATCACAAATTGGTACGCACCAAACTGTACATGTATTTTCCTTAATCTATGTATTGCACTCCCGCCGTGACTCGGCGTAAATTTAACATACTCGACCTCGGTACTGTGGCGAAACGCACTGAGCTGGAGAAGTCGATAGCTGCACGCCTGTGTGATGTGGACTGCATAGCCACAGTGAGCGACCAGTGGCACCACATTCGCGACCAGGTGACAGCTGCTGCCGAGTAGACCATCGGGCGCGCAAACTGTAAGCGGCCTGATTGGTTTGAAGAGAACAGTGCGACGATTGGCGCATTGGTGTCGGTGAAGAATGCAGCATTTGCTGCACATATGGCAGATCCCAGTGACTTGGTGAAAAATGGTCAGTTTCACAAACCTCGAGGGCGACTGATCCGAGAGCCCCGTCGCATAAAAAATGCATGGTGGACGGAGAAGGCGAAGCAGATGGAATGCTACGCCGAACGCCGCCAACACAAGGAATTCTGTGGATCCTTGAGGGCGGTGTATGGACCGAGGTTGGAGCCGCTGAGGACACTGATCGATGGTAGTTCAGGCGCTACCTGCACACAGACTGCAGACATAATGCAGATCTGGCGAAAACCCTTTGACTGTCTCTTGAACAACCGTTCAGATAGTGACTGGCCCACATTGAATGGCCTCAAACAGCACGATGTGCAGACTAGTCTGGCGGACACCCCGACACTAGATGAGACGCAGAGAGCACTTGCTCAGCTGCGAAACGGCAAGTGTGCTGGGGCCGACCGGATCCCGCCTGAAGTATTGAAATACGGTAGACGCGCGTTGGTGACTGCGCTGCACCACTTGGTGCAACGCGTATGGATTGAGGAGGAGGCGCCTGCTGAGCTGAAGGATGTCCTTGTGCTACCACTGTACAAGCAATGTCGCACGAATTATCGTGGCATCAACTTGCTGAGTTGTGTGGGCAAGGTGATTGCCTGAATCCTGCTCAACCGCCGCGTCAGTCAGGTTGTGGAACCTAATGTGGCGGAAGAGCAGTGTGGATTCCGTTCGGGTCGCAGCACTATAGATATGGTGTTTGCGGCTCATCAGCTGCAAGAGAAATGCAGAGACCGACACCAGCAATTGTATTCGCTTTTTGTTGATTTCACCAATGCATTTGATACGGTGAACCGCGAGGCATTGTGGCTGGTGTTGGGTAAGTTTGGTTTCCTGCGTAATTTTGTAACTTTAATTGAATGTCTGCACAGTGGTATTTGGACTAGGGTGCAACTGAGTGGAGAGACCTCGGATGACCTTGCAGTTGTCACTGGTGGGAAGCAAGGCTGTGTCTTAGCTCCTGCCATGCTTAATATATATCTTCATGCAATGATGTCTTGTGCTTTTGATGCGGTTTGTGCTTGCGGTGTTCGTGTCGAGCACTGTGTTGATGGTGGATTGCTGAACATCCGTCGTTTCGATGCGAGAACTCTAGTTTGTGAGACAACTATCCGTATGTTGCTGTTTGCTGACGACTGTGCGTTGTTTGCACACAGCGCGGATGAGTTGCAGCACATGACTAGTGCTCTGGCTTCGGCAGCGGTCAAATTCGGGCTCACCATCAACACAAGCAAAACTGTCTGTCTCTTTCAGCCTTCACCGGAGGTGCAATCTCCAATATTGCCGCGTATCAGCAGTGGTGCTGAAGTATTGGAAACCACCTCCCGCTTCTGCTACCTTGGAAGTGTGATGTCGACTGATCAGCAGCTACACAGTAAGCTTCGTATCCGCGTGTCGAAGGCAGCGGCGGCAATCAGGAAGCTAGAGTACCGAGTGTGGAACAACCATCAACTTACCGTTGGTACGATGCTGATGGTGTACAAATCCATGGTGCTGTCCGTTCTTCTATACGGCAGTGAAACGTGGACGATGTACCGGCGGGATGTGCGATATCTCGAGTGGTTCCATCAGCAGTGTTTGCGACGGATTATGCGTATCGGTTTGGGCGACAGAGTTGCGGACACGGAAGTGTTGCGTCGAAGTAGGATGTATGCAGTGGACTGCATACTTTTGCTGAGACACCTGAGTTGGCTCCGTCATGTGAGCCGTATGGATTCGACGCGGATACCGAAGCAGCTATTATATGGTCAGCTGATTATTGGGAAGCGGCATGTGGGAAAACCAAAGTTACGTTACCTGGACATGATCAAAGTGAGCCTCTCACGATCTAATTTTGATTGCAGGTCATGGGAATCGAAGGCGGTTGATCGGCGTGCATGGCGCGATCTAATCACCAAGGCAGTTGCCGAAGTGCAGGAGAAAGACCTCATACATGCAGAGAAGAAGCGGCAAGCACCGATGGGTTGTACTCCATCTACATCGAGCGCATGGTGCTGTATCACATGCGGTCGCAAGTGCATGAGTCAGACAGGCCTAGTGAGCCATGAGCGAGGCCACTCGGGACCACTACAGAAGCGACGACGGGTCCTGCAGAGAACGTAGGCGGAACCGCCACAGCATTTGTAGTCACGGTACATTCGATTTACTAACCACGTGCTTGCATGCTAAGTCTATTTATTTCTGGTGGTGGGTTTTCAATTTTGTCCTAATGCTTTTCTTTCTCATCTACATCTACCTGTACTCTCTTCTATAAACTTGCACACGTCGCTTAAGCCAATTGTAGTTAATTTCGATAACATATTCGTGTTTGTGGCATTTCCGTAAAATATACTTTCTGACCTCTTGAACTTATCTCCGATTTTTTTAAACAACTTATTTCATATGCTCATTAATTTGAGGTTTATGTCACCGTTTTGTTATGCATTACTCGATTTTGTTTTCTTTGTTATCTTTCTCTCAAGTGATTGGCTGTTGCTTGATATCCCCGGTGTGGCTGCGCTTGATGTGCATGTTGACAAGGTGCCTACCTGTCTATTACCCACTACCTCGTCCATACTGGCTCTAGGAGACAGGTGGTCGTTGCTGGAGTGGACGGGGTGCACGGTCCTTGTGGCCGTGTTAGGATCAAAGGATGGTTCCATGCATTCAGTGTGGAGCGGACTATGGTCCAGCCACCGCCTTGTATACGCTTGATTTTCCAACTACAGCGAGGTTGTGTTTGTCTGTGAAGGTGTGTGGGCCGGCTCTGTTGATGAAACGTGGCTCCCATCCGCATGCCTCCCGGTCTTATTCCTTCGGGTTTACACTGGATATGGGGTGTGTGGATGGAGCTGTGGGTGGTGCTACCGACAAAAGGAAGGAAGAGAGAGTCTGAGGAAGGAATGTAAAGTTCCATGTGCTGTGTGAGCAGTGAGCTTCCCGGTTGCGTAGGCCGAGGAAGTGGGTTGACTTAGGGGGCCCCACTCCGGGCCTTTGGTCTAAAAGACTTGACGCGCACGGCAGCGGGGCGAATACGAAGACCGTTGACTGTCAGGTGGCTCATTCGCCTTCTTTGTGTTCGGTTGCAGTCCCGGAGAAGCCGGTTTCCTGAAAGGTTGTTCATCCGCCCTCCATTAGATACTCACTTCCAGTTACAGGAGTGAGTGGTCAGTGACCCTATACCTGGTCACCTTGGCTTTGACACAGCGCCGTACGAGCACTTGTGGTATTTAATGGAGGACCAGGTGACCAGCCCAGAACGCACGCTCTGAGACGCTGCCGCTGATTGTCTGCGACTGCTTATTCATCTCGCCTGCAAACCAGCCGATACTTATTCGCAGTTACTTTCACAAGTAAGGCATTTCCCGATCCGCAATCTGGGGACGTGCCCAATAGCGTACATCCACGCTACGTGCCACCATCTAATGTGCAC